AAAAATCGTATCATATAAAATCAAGAGAAGCTACCTATAAATCAAGAAAAATAAGAAGAGAAAGAATATTATTATTTTATAATAGATAGAACTGAAAGAAAACGTATAGAATCTTCTTCATATTAATAAAATGAATTCGTATTATATATTCTGAGCAATCCACCAATAATGGATAAGAATATTAGAAAAATAATCTAAGATCCAGATACGTATCATGTCCTTAATTCAGAAAATTAAAAAATATCCAAATATATCATATACCTCCAGATTCCTCTTGAATCGCCATTTAGAATCTTTTGAAAAATATCTTATATACGTGACGCGTCCCCTAGACCCCAAAAACTCTTTATTTGTATTAGAATCTTCTACAGAAGGCGGGGGCGCTCCCCTCAATCGCAGCCCGAACCATTTAGAATTTAGAGTTAAATATTCAAAAACGTTAATTATTTTCCAGCACGGGGGGAAGTCCCAACCCATCGCATCCCATAAACAGCATTTCAGCCTTCCACAGATATTGCGCATTTTGGGATGAATGCGCGTGTGGGTGGGTGTGTAAGTGAATATTGTTATTGTGAAAGTGCTATCACAAGTTGTATTGGGTATGTTGCGTGCGTCGTGTGTTGTAGGCGGAGACACGAAGACGGGAAGGAAGGATGGAAGGATATAGAGCGGAGGGGGGGTGGGCTGAATTCCCGTAGTGATGCGAGGGAAAACATGATCAAATTTATGTCAAATCAAATTCTTGATTACCTCGTCTTTGATTCGACAATCCATGCGATCTGGCCGCGTTCCACTTGTTTGAAAGATTGCACCGTGGTCTTCGTAGAAGTTCTATTCTGATCTCAAGTTTTTGATTTCTTGCCCTCCTCTGCCATCTCCATTCGGCAGAGTGACCCGAAGCCAAGTGGAAGCGACGGAAACCGGCGCCTGTTGAGCCCAGCTGGGCGCTTGAAGGCAGTACTTACAGCCTCATCAACAAAAGTTGCTTGTCTTGCAATCTCACTCGTGTTCACAGCATCTTTGGGTCAACCAGTGAAGCTGCATGTCTCAGAAAGCATATGCGAGACCTGTATGCACTGCTGCACTTTGCCCGCACAGACACATGAGCAAAGGAGCCTCCCGATCTGCGAATTCGATGCCGCAGATCGGCCCGAAGCCTCCAAGCTCGGCAAGAGTCCTTCGCAGCTGGGACTGAGGACAAGGGACCACAGGCGAACAGCAAACCTCAAAAGACCAAGATGAGCGAGAGCTCTGCGAGCTTTGAAGCATTCGACTTTTCTTCTCGTCTCGCGCTGTTGCCGGTGAATGCTGGTGATGCACGGAGTGCTGCATGATAACATACTGTCGACCCTGAGCTCGCTCCTTTGCACTCCACGAACAGAGCTTCTTGAAGAATCCAAACACATGCACACACAAACACACACACACACAAAAGAAACAAGGTGAGCTGAACTTCACGGGTCACCATGCCAGGGGGCCGCCTTGCCTCCACAGGACTTCGAGCTTCTCTCGGCGAATCCTTCAAGCAACTAATTAGGAAGGTTGATATTTCAACCGCAAATTCGCAGCAAGCCGTACCGGACCTGCCGCGACACGGGCCGTCGCCTTCCATCGCATTGACCGAGTGCAATTCTGCAAAGACATATGCTGTATTCAAGCTTTGCTAACTCGGACATGTCGGGAGATGCCGGCCGCATGCGCAGGCACAGGCGAGAGATGAAAATTGTGGAGTCGAGCGCCGTACTACAGCGCCCGACGCTGTCTCAACAAAGCTGCGCTGCATCTGCCAGTGTCAGAACACTGCCTACATCGCTAGTTCCATTGTCAGCCTAGCTATGCCAGCTATGCTCACTTCCGAGCATCGAGAAAGAGCAAGCGGAATCGGATCTTACCGGAGATGGTGCTTTGGCATCCGGCTCGGATCTGCGTGCACCTGCGAGCTTGAACTTGCGGTTCTGGGTCATCTTCAAGGGCACCTCCAGCACGCCATGCTCCAGCTTGATGCTGTCTTCGCACACCTGAAACGTGCCATCAGATCTGTCGAAATCAAAATCCTTTGCCCAAGGGCCAAAGTGCTGCAAAATGGGCTGCACGGGCTCCACGGTTTCTTCGTTGATGGGCCGTTTCTTTTCGATCACGATCTTGACCCCGTTGGTGAGCAGATGGAAATCGACATCGTCTTCAGAAACTCCCGGGCACTCGACACGAATGTAGCGCATCTTGTCCGAGTCCATTTTACGGTCAAACACGTTCGTGATGGGGCGGAAGCTGACATCGTGGGGAGTGATCTCCCCCAAATCCGAAATCACGCCTCTCGTCTTCATCACAACCTTGGCATCTTGGGGCAATGAATGCAAAATCATGGAGCCCACATGCACGTAGCCCTGCACAGCTTCCCTCTCTTCCTTCGGGCAGAACCTCACAGAGATCGCCTGCGTCGAAGTACCGGATGTGTTGGCGGCCACTTCCGGCACGCCTGCTTCGATGCTGGCGAACTTCGGCATCAGCTTGGACAACTCTGTGCTGAAGGTCTCTGCAAGGGCCAGATGCGAACCCAGGATGCTTCCATGCTCCAGGCTCTGCAAGAGGTACTCCCTATTCTTGGCATTGAACTTGTCACCGGCTGTTGAATACTCCTGGCACAGCCCAATATGGTGTACCGGAGGTGCCCCTTCGCCAGCATCCGCCGTGAAGATGAGGTCGCCCAGGTGCGACGGAACACCATCGTAGCATCGTGTGACCTGCCGCTCAAAAAGGGCATGTGCATCTTCCACTCGGGAGGTAGTGCTCAAGTTGTGGACGACAATCAGCTCCCTGTGCTGCCGGCGCTGCACGTACTTCTGGTGCAGTTCGGCGGCTTTCTGCTGCTCAAACCACGTCGTGTCACTTACCACAAAGATCATGTGATGAGCAATGCGAGAGATCATCTCAAGGACCAGTGTCTCGGTGTTGCGTGCATCCCAAATCGCGTCGACGGCCTGTGCACGGTAGGAGACCGGGGACTGCACCCCGGCGGAGTCAATGATCAGCATCCGGCGCTCTTCTACCCAAAGGAAGCTCAAGCCTGTGGTGGTGTGAAGCTTTCCAGAAGGCAAGCTCACGCCGAAGAGCCTGTTCAAGAGCCATGTCTTCCCTTTGTCAAAGAGACCTACAACTGCCACGATGCGAAAGTTCCCCTGATGGACGACGTCCAAGCTGGATTCGACATTCCTCAAGAAGCGGACCTCTCGTGTGGAGAGGAATTCGGACAAGGAGTCGAAAGCCAGGATCGCATCGTAGTGAGTGGCCGAAGCCCGGCGGATGTCCTCCTGCCGACGGCGTTCTCTGCGCAATTGCCTGGCTCGCCAGAGGGCCTGGACACAGCACACGGCAGCTGTAAGCTTCACGTGTCGCTGATGCCTCGCCATCGCGGCCAGTGCCGACTTCAAGCGCCGGCGGAAGGCAGACTTCCGAAAGGAGGCCTGGATCTTCCTAGCAGCCACGGCCAAACGATGGGCCGCGCCGTCAGCTGCGTCGGCCGCTGTGTCCATCAGAGCTCGGAGTTGTGCAGTCTCCTCCCTGGCTGCCCTGGCTGCTGCGAGCTCCAGATCCCGGGCCTCTGTCAGCTCTCGCAGGAGTTGCCGAAATCGTTCGGCAGTGGCGCGGCTGGGGAATACACTCACGGTGATCCTCCATGCCGAGGACAGGCTCGGCCGCGGGAAATGCAAGGTATGAAAACCAGATGTGTGAGTGACATCCAAGTCCTGGATTGTAGCGCCCATGCCGACCTGCAGAAACGTACCGTTTTTTCTAGGAGCGAGCATAACACTGGCCTGGTCCTCCGAGCCCCCTTGGCCGCCGAGAGGGTAGAGATATATGAAGCTGCAGAAGTTGGCGGTGTACCAACTGTTAGTAGAGTCGGCGTGCACGTAGCAGCCTCTCGGCACTCCTTGCACACTTTGAGCTGTCAGATCCCATATGACCTCCGGGCCAGGCGGGGGGCAACCGAAGAAATGGCAAGTCGGTTTTAGGTGGGACTTGTCTTGAAGAAACTAACTCTGACCTGTAGAAACTCGATCTCACAAAATCGCAAGGGTTGTTACCGCGGGCCAAACATTACTCGCAAGAGGAGTCGTACTTGTGAGTTTTTCTATGTATTTGATGCCCCGGGTATTGAGTCGAAATAGGGGTGACAATTGAAATATTCGAGGCCGAAGAGCTCTTCGGGCCAGGCTACCTGAGAGAATATGAAAAGAGTCCTACACCTCCCAGCTCGCAGATTGCAGTTCCAGGCACTGCTCCCTCGACACTTCGGCCAGCCCAGCAGATCAGACCCGTGCTACAGCTCCGAGATCCCCATAGGCTACTGCACGACGACGACGACTACTACTACTACTACTACCACCACTACGACTACTAGCCACACCCCCCCTGCCCACCAACCACCTGGAGCCTTAACCCATCGTCATCATCATCATCATCAACGAAAATGACAGTTGCAGAAGATGCAGGAGCTGAGGCCCACTATCTGTGCCAGTTGCAGAAGTTGCCGAGGCTCACTTGCCTTGACTGTCACAGATGCAGGGGCTCAGGCTCCCTATCTATATCTTTGACAGCTGCAGAAGTTGCCGAGGCTGACTTGCTTTAACTGTCACAGCCGGTGAAGTTTCAGAGGCTCAGGCCCCAAAACTGCGTCGGCAACTGCAGTTGCAAACTCGACAAGGAAGAAACTGCCCGAAGTGCAACATATTCTAAACATCAAAAACAAAGATGCCAGCTGTAGCTCGGAGGGGGCTCGCCAACACCCTTAAAGCCCAGACCTCGGCATAGGAGGGTTTGCTTTTGAAGTGGTTTGCGATGTTCGAGAACCTGCCTGTGCGTCATCATGCCCCCCCCCCGCCCCAACCCTCCCGAAACCAAAGTACTTTAAATACCGTGTAAAACACAAGCTTCCCCCAAACAACTTCGATTTTTAGCCGAAAGCCCTCGCAAAGCCCAATGTCGAGTTCGCAAAGTCCAGAGGTACCCTAGGTGACTATAAAGATGGTCCGACATCACGAAAGTACTGTAAATAACGAGGAAAACTGCTATTCTGGAGATATTTATTGTTCGGGGTGTCTGCGTAACGATGTCGTCGTGTTCCCCCCCTCCCCCCACCCCTCCTTCCAAAATGCAAGTCCAGAAACGGAAGCCCGAGTTTGCACACTCGCAAGTGACTTTGGAAGCTTCATAATTAAGATGTTCCTACATGACGAAAGTGCTGTAAATACCGAAAAATGGATGTGTGCGAGAAGTGTATGTAAGAGGGGGGCCTACTACTACTGCTACTACTACTACTACTACTACTACTACCACTACCACTACCACTACCACTACTACTACTACTACTACTACTACTACTACTACTACTACTACTACTACTACTACTACTACGACTAAACTACTGCTACTACTACTACTACTCCTAAGTGACTGCAGGTGTGGCAACTGATGGTGGCAGGCCCTCTACATGCCGGCCATGCGCCTCGAGTCCCTCGTGCACAGTCACGGTCCCCTGCTCCCCGTGAGACATGGCTCAGGCAAACGCTGTGCGAGCGTGGTCCGGATCTTGAGCCAAGGGTCACTTGAAGCAAAGCTCGTTTCGAATTAGGTTTGCTTGTGAAGCCGACGTGCTCGGCTACAGAAAAAAGACCATGTGGCCACGGTCCTGCTCCTTCTCGCCAGAGCCTCGCCATCATCTGTCCATCTCAGGCTTCACCGGACCCTGACCCAGCGGTGACATGACTTCCATGTTGCTGGATCCCTCTACATGTCATGCCCTAGTGGGGGCTACATGCCATGACGGGCCCGAGCCTGTTTTACTCTGGCTTGTGGAGGCAGATCCTATCATTGCGAGCTATCCCTTTGCTGTTGCGTCTCGGGGTTGGCTACTCTTCAAAGTCAACCTCTGTCACTCTCAACGCTGCTCCGGGCTTCGAGACGGAAAATGCTGAAGGTTGGCTCCAGGCACTCCAATCAGGTACTCAGGCAGCAGGTTCGTGTTTGTGTCTTGCGGTCTCAGACTGCTCTACTGCGACAAACTCGTTTGGCCGTATTTTGCTCGCTCTTCGGAGTCGGAGCCGACAGCGCATGCCAGGCTACGGCGCCACGCGATTGCGGATGAGTCTGGAAAGGCTGCCCACGGCCGGAGCGCCGCAGAAGTACACCCAGGGAATCCTTGGCTATGGCTCAAGGGACCTTGCACAAGACCCGTCTCAAGGCTGCAGAAGTTCTGCAGAGGCCGTCATCCTGCCACACTTCGGGCTTACAGTGCCAAGCAGTGCAGGTGTCTGGGTCTCTGTCCTGAGGCCCTTGCACTGATGCAAATGGAAGGCTGCACAAAGCTACTTGCAAGCCAGCGGCCAGCTGTCCACTCCCCAGAGATCGGCCTGACCAGACGCGTTGCTCAAGTAGCCGAGGGCCAGCGTTGCAGCCCTCCCCTCAGGCCTTCGAGTAAGCGTAGAGGTCCCACCAGGGCGCATTGATGAGACAAACCTCCATGCAACAGGGAGCGTGCCTCTCGCGTAAACTGTAAAACTAGCACAAGGCTTCTGATCGGGATCAAGTTTCTCACTCGCGCAACTCGGACAACTCCAGAAAAGGCTTAGTCTTCCTTTCAAGCCGGCCACCTAACATGAGAATAGGCCGACATGAATCCGGAAGATAGGAGCGCAACGGTGAAAGCAACGTGCGGCTTTCTCACCACCGCAATTTCGATTTCAGCTTGGGGCTGGTGCTGGCAGTCGCCAAGGTCCCAGGCAGATCCAGAAGAGAAGGCGCCTCTGAGGAGGCTCCTCTTCTTGATCTGCCTGGTTTCTGCAAAGAGCAGCAGCTGAGCACCAGTCAGCAATCCATGAGAAGTGTCGCGGCATTCCGCCCAACTTCACGAGCAGAGGCTCCCCGCCTGTGCAAACTGCAGCGGCCGCAAGGGTGCTCAGCGTGTACGGCAGTGACGCGTTTGATCTAAGCCACTGCCCTAATATGCATTTTGCCTCTGGTCCCTTCGCCGAGTTCCTTCGGCTCATTGCCAATGAGCCGAAGGAAGTCGGCGGATGCCGTCGAACTGCGTCGAACTGCGGTGCATGGCCTCCTGTGAAGCAACCTGCCGGATGTCCTCTGATGTTGGCCAAGTTGAAAAGCATCGCGGGAGGAAGGTTGTCCCCTGCCACACTTCGAAAAAACATGCATGCGGTCCAAAACTTCCATGCCTCGGCCAACAGGCAGCTTGCTTTGCAGGCCGCAGGGACATGGTGAGGCAGTGGAATCTTGTACAATCCACGACGAACCGTGGGCAGACCCAAGCTTGGCACTCCAACACTTGAGTTTTGAGAGAGCTTGAGCCAGAGTGGCAGGCGCAGCATGAGCACCACATCTTCGAAACCTGCAAAGCTGGCCCTACTCAAACTTCTCTGAGTGAACACCGACCCTGGTCCAAGCACCGAAAATTCAGGGAAAGCCTCAATGAGAGTTCCGCCAACAGCGGTCATCACCTCGGCTGCCGCTTAATTGCTCCTAGCAGCCAGCAGATCGCGAGCTCCAAACCACGAATTTTCCAGTCGCAGGCCGATCCATCCGTGGACAAGGCTCGATGCTGCAGACTTTAGCATCTTAGCCGCCACTCAGCCACAGACGGCGACCACGAGACCGGTGGTCGTGCCCTTTGCAGAAGGACGTGGGATGATGGGCACTTCAACCTTTTGTGTACGTGTACGGCTACGCGACTTTCTCAAAAGCACTGCAGGTCAAGCAAGGTTTTTTAGCTGATTTGTCGTGGCATTCGGAAAGTGAGACCACTTGCCGAGGCACGTCGAAGGCTCGCCAGGCGGCAACAGCCCACAGGGCCAGCACGAAGGAGATCAGACCTCTAAGGGGGTGAAGACAGACATAATTTGTGTTTAAATGCTTTTACCTCTAAGGGGGTTCTGCCCATGAGCCCAGGAAAAAGCAATCACAACTGAAGCTCAGTCTGTAAGTCTTGGGGCAGCGGTCCCCGATGGAGTGCTGCAAGATGAACTAGCACAGTCTCTGACAGCGCCCTGCCTGTTCCCAGCCCGCTTGATGACATGAAGCCACTGGCCCAATAGTTGGCGGTCTCGGAAGACCCGAAGAGAAAACAAAAGGATCAACACACACAAAGTAGCACATTTCCAGCATCAAGCAAGCCTGCTGCTTGGGGCAAAACTAGCTTGAAAAGAATCTGTTCAGGTCTCTCGACTCTGGCCAGCCACAGAGGCCCTGACAAAGCATGCAACAGCAGCCAGAGTTTGCACCAACGACCTGTTCAGCTCAAGCCGTGCTTTGGGCCTGGAGTTGCATCCACATTGATCCCCAAATAGTAACCGGCACCAGCTCTTCTCCTCCCGAACCACTTTCGTTGACAACCTCAAGCTGCCAAGTACCTCATCCTCACCATCCCGAAATCTGATCTCCAACAAAGAGATTCTGCAAAAAGTTGCATCAATTTCGCTCAGGACTTCACGGTGACCGATCCTCTGCCTTCACAGCCAGCAGATTGTCAAACCTGCAAGGTAAGGGCGCATAGCGTAAACATATTGAAAGGCTACGACGCAGCTACAACTGCTGCGACGATCTGAGATCTTGTTTTGGATCCCCTTGGCGCCAAGACGGTTCTGGAAGCCACTCCCGGCTCCTCTAGTAGTCTAGTTTGGTCTGAGTTGCACAGCTCGGTCCAAAACCCCGTACGTGGAGACTGCTGAGCATACCCAACGCGAAACCCAAAATCCGAAGACCTGTTGGACCCATTTTCCAAAAACCTTTTTGGGCCCCTGACCCGAAATCCTAAATCCTACCAGCCGATCTACAAGCCTATAGCCCAGAATCGAAGCCCGAACAACCTCAAAACCCTACTATAGGGGGCCTGAATAACTAGAATAAGCTTCGGGGGTACATTATACCATAATTATACTAAGGAGCCCCAGAAGAGAGTATAGGTACCGCAAAGCCAGACCTGAGGCGAGGACACCCAGTAGAGGCTGCTAATGAGGAAGCCGGCGAAAGCGAAGAGAGGCGGAACCTGTTGTTCCACCAATGTGAGAGAATTCGGTCATCTATCAATCTTTCTATCTGTCTGTCTTTGTATTATTGCACTAAACTATGTTGTTTTTGACTTTGAGACATATGTATGTACGGTGTGTACTTAATTGTCAAGGTATGCTCTCTGTGCGCACAGAGTTCGGCATATGGATGGACAGAGCAGCCTACAGCAGCCTTGGCACGGGCCCCTGTCACGGAGAAGACTGGTGCCCAGATGAAGGCGGAGTCGTGAACCGAAGATGATTTTCTTCCAAATGTGCTATGCCCCGGCAGTTACACATTTTGGCACAAGCTTCCTATGCAAACCCAAAAACATCTCACGTAGTCTGCAGAATTTTTGTTCGCTCATGTCATGTGCTGAGTGGCGGGCCCAAATCGCAGTGGCAAAGAGCTTGTAGCTACCGAGCATGACAGGAACCTGTGTTGGCGGTATTCAAGGCGTAGGGCGTAGGGGTCCTTCCGACAAAGTGCGAGGTGTTACTATGTTACATGTGGTATTACTTGGTGCACACTTGGCGCCAGGCACTGTGAAGACTTGGATGCATCTGAATTTCGTATCACGGCATTTTAAATATTGCTACTCGAAGTCTTCCTGTAGCGAGATGTAGCAGGTAGCAGCAGTAGCACAGTGGCAGGGGGAGGGGGCAGGGGCAGGGGGAGTGACGGTTGCGGGTCGCTTGCGCAAGCTCTCGTGCCAAATCCCCATCTGTTAAGACTCTCTGGTCATGCTCGGGCTCTGGTCTTTACGATCCCCATGTTTCCTCCGGGTCGGGATTTGGGTTTCGGGCCTGCTGGAAGGCAACCACCGGGCATCCCGGACATGCCATCCCTGAACCCATGAATTTAGAATCGATCCAATGTGCCGGTGCCTCTTGAATCATCCGGATCTCGGAAATCTGAACCCTGAGCTCGTTACACCAGCTCAGGTGCGGGCCGGGGGTGGAGAATGATATGCTAAGACCTGACGGCGAAATATTGTCCGCGTAGTCGCAGACGTAAGAAAAAATGCGAGGGACGGGAACCGTAACTGCTGAGTCGCATCGAGCCACTCTGAGGCGTCTGTAGTTGTTCTTTCACAGGAAAAAAACAGCCGCCGGAGATTAGGCACAACTTGTTCGTGTTGGGTGCGCTCTTTCGGGATGTCCGATCAGACTGAGAGCGCAGGATGTGGTACTCAGGGCGTTTGTTGCGAACAGTGGCCACCGAAAATAGACCTGCCTCTGCACAGCGCGCATGCATGACAACCGTGCGATCGAGAGAAGTACTTTATGCGCAGACATGTGCCACTAGTCACCATCGACTACGCACTTTGAACTCATGTTGAACATTCATGTCCCAGTATCCTTGTCATACTGAGTTGCGAGTTGCAATATCTTCAAGCCGAAGTCAAGCCATCATCATTGCTCGCCCTCCTAGCCCGAGTCGCGTTCGAAACGTTTTTTGCATACAGAATCGAACTTTATTCCTGGGCTACAGTAGGAGTGAAGGTCTAGTTCTGGTTCGGTACGACCCCAAGGCTGTGAATACCAAGCGCCAATATTGAAGAACATACCACAAGCATAGCCGCCCGAAACAGCGGCAGTCATGCAGGCTCCAGTTAAGCAACCGAAGAACTAAACACAATGAGAACATCCAGAACAACTGAGGCAGCAGTTGCTCGCTTGATTTTCAAGGCGTCCGAGTCAGGGGAGAAAGAAAACTCCTCGCTTCTTTAAACTTACATCTGCACTCCAAGCAACACTGACGCACAGCTCCCTGGTCAGCGTCTTATTTACTAGACATGTAAACAGAAGCATGTGCATGCAGGTGCTTGCAGTCTTTGCTACCTGCTGGGGAGATGGTGTAATTAAGAGCGCACAGCATGAAGAACGCCGTCCAGCACCTGCATACACATAAGCTGCTTTATGCAGCGCCTTAATTAAAGTAATGAAAGAGTGCCTTGACACTGGCCTACTTCACAATGCCTCTAGGCAAGACATGGCCTAGTCAGACTGCATGTTCTGACATCTCGGTGAGGCATCGCGGTGGCCAAAGCAGTCTTGGCATAAATGGGTGCGATCTACCCATCACCACCTGCAACGCTGTTGCGTCGTGCCTGATGGATATCTGAATATCATCGCACAGTCTGCTCCGCATTCGCGCATCCGCATGATCCAACACAGGCCATTCCAGACAGCTTGCTGGAAGACGAATGTCTATCAGCCAAGATCTCCAGCGGGAGGACACGTCACCAAAAGATTTGTGTTGTTTTTCAATGAAGAGACGGAAGAGGGGGATTTTCTCTTGGACTGTTGAAAGGTGCAGCGAGCCTTCTGGCATGACGGTGGCTGCATGTGTTTGCCGGTGGCGTTTCCTCGGCCTTTAAATTAAACCTCTCACCGGGCTCAGAAACGCGATATCACAGGAAGCTTTCAGTACTGTATAGGAGCTGTACATGCTCAGTGCGCAAATAGATTGGTCAGCTCCAACTCCATGTACCTAAGCTTCAGTCAATTGTGAAGCGTTCTGCTTCAGAAGATCTGCCTTCCGCTTCCGCACAAGGGAACTCGGAACGCATCGCTGTGTCGGGTTTAACAACCCCTCGTCCCCGCCGTGACTTTCTGCTGCAGCTACTTGCCGATACAAGCGGCATCGCTGATGAAGAGCTGGACGCGTCATCCATGTCTTCTTTAGGAGACTGTAGCTGGTCGCTGGACTCCTGAGATACTAGAAACCGCAGGCTGCAGAGCTTGGGACATGGAAATACCACATATGAGGGACAAGACGTGGCTTCAGTGGTACGTGGGGTCGACAGGTAGCGCTCTCAAATGCGGCCTTTGCAGGGGAAATATAGACGGTTATGACGGCCACGGCCAATCTACGTTCTGCGCTTCTAGTGTATATACATGTCCAGATATTTAACTAATCAACAGATACACACCTAGCCTGAAGCGGCTCTACGATATGACTACACAACGTGAGAGGCACACAGCCGTAGCAGCACACAGACGGTGGCCCTGAACGCTCACATAGATTTCGCACCAGCAGCAGTTGGGCCAGACACACATACATACCCATCTTGTCATCTGCTCAATGAAGTGCACGGCACCCCAAGCAAAAACGCATTGCCACGCAGTGCAACGCCCCGAAAGGCCGCTTTCTTCGCAAGACTTTTGCATGCAGGGGTTTTTTGCTGCCCTGCCAGCTTGGCCTAGCAGCTGTAATAGCAGCAGCTGAGATTCGCGCAGCAGAAGTAGCACGATGAGCAGTAGTAGTAGCAGTCGTAGTAGTCGGAGTCGTCGTAGTGGCCGTCGTCGTCGTCGTCGTAGAAGCAGCAGCAGCAGCAGCATCATGGATAAGTAATGCGCTCTCATTTTGCTAATGCTAGTGGCTACTCTCGTTGTTGCTACTACGACAATGCTAAAGCAGCAACTGACTGCCGGGCTTCCAGGAAGCTTTCCATCCGCACCTCACCCACCTCAAAAAGCTTTGTGATAAGGACTGTAGATTAGCATGATTAGAGCTTGGAGCTGCGGGCTTTGGGTTGAGTGTTCGTGTTTTTGCTATCAGCGGCGCAAGCGCAGGCCCTATGCTTGGCAGCAAAAGAGCAAGTTTAGCCTTGCAACGCTCAGAAACCCTGTTAGGATGGAAGAGACTATGATACACCGGGAATCGTTTGCCTGAGGTTTGTGTGTCGGGCCTTTACCGGCCGCAGCTTACAAAGTTCGTTCTAGACTTCGGCTTTGGGGGTCGCTGTTGCAAAGGCTTCTACAGCCGCTGCATCAAGTTGAGCTGCTGATGCCGAACACCATAATGGAGTTGCGATTTCGGGTTTCAGGCTCAAGCATGCAGCAAGCAGCTAGAAGAGTCTTGGCAGAGGCCATCGGCGAATACATCTTGATTCCCCGAAGTGGTCGCTCCTTGGTATAGGTACTTGCCATGGGTCCGTCCAAGTGCACGGTGTCCCGTTGCCGTGGCGAAATCATGTCCAATGAACACTGGGTGCTGCAACCACTCCATCGCCCACATTACGATTACGATGAAGTTAGCAGCACGAGCTCATGGGAGAGTGACGGAACGGAGATGAGCAAATCAGCAAGAAGGAAGAGGGCGGGTGCAACTTCGAAAAAACAACTGACAGAAAACTACCAAGGCAAGGAAAACCAAATGTTACTCACCGCATCCGTAGCTTCCAGTTTAGCTGCACCCCTTTTGTACCAGAGCGTTTTCAGCCATTTGGCACTCCGCAGGCATCACCAACGATCAGGCTTCTGAAAAACCGCCATACGACGACTATTACTGCGAGCAATAATAAGTTTACCCCAAAACTGCGAGCTCGATAGGCCGGTATAGGCCGGTCAGACATGTCTCTGCGCATTCGCGCCCGCCGTAAACGGCATTGGCATGGTCCTGAATGTAGTTGAAGATATTGGACCTCGCGCCGGGGCGAAGCTTTTCGAGCCAAAAAAATCAACCTCTCCTCCAACTTATATAACTTAGAAGAAACCGACAAGCTTCTGTTTCTCAGTATAGATAACCTACTTGACTATAAAGATTTGCATCTGCGCTTTTGTGTCACCGGAGCTGCTAGCAAGTGAGAGCCGTCTGAACACAGCAGGTTTCGGTGCCCTGCCTGTAAGATGGCTTGATCCACTCCAGCAGATTCGGCACACCCGTTGCTTGCGGATGGGGTTTTGCAAAAGTCCTGAGCATCTGGGCTGGTGAATCGGGGAGCATGTTGAGGATGCATCCACGGCACATGTTGCTTCTGAGCGTTGAATTATGAGCTCAAGCCTGAGAAATCCGTGCTGCCAGGAGTCATCTTCATCGAACGAATTAGGAAGTCTTCGGTCAAAGTCCTGAGTTCGCTGAGTTGAAACGGCATCGGTAGTTGTAAAGAAAACGATCGGAACAGCGATTTCTGATGTCTATCATCATCCTGCCAGCAGCTAGATTAAGAAAACACAATGCAGACAGGATGATTACCTGAACAAGTTATCTAGTACTGCTGACACTGGTTTCCCTTGCATCGCTCTAAATTCTCCTCAGCAATCATTTCAGCGCCGAAAGCAGCAAGACCCCTGCGACTGTGTATGACCATGACTACCGAAAGCCAAATGTGTAATGATCAGGATAGTACATACTGGGTAAACATAGACAGTATACAGGTTGTTACAAGCATACACGTATGCTTAAGTTGTGTGACGCCGTCTTTCGAACCTGCGCAAGCAGCAGAGCAACATCGCAGCTTGTGCACGCAGTTTCTCAAATCGTGTGGAACTCAAGTGGCAACGCTTGCTGATGCTTGCCGACCCCAACGAGTACTATTCCACCATGCCACCACCGCCGCGACAACGACAACGACTACTGCAACTGCTGCTACTGCAAATTTTGCTAGTGCTACTGCTGCTGCTGCTGCTGCTGCGGCTACTACTGCTACTATTGGCAGTACCAGTCCTAGTCAGCTGCTCGTGTCACTACTGCTACTATACCAAGAGGACGACAACGAGTGCTACCACCAACAAGAACAACTACACTTCTTCCATCTCAACTTCCTGCCCTCTCCCCGCACTGCGGTGCAACCAAACACTGCACACATAATGTTGCTGCAACACTCACGACGATGCGCCTAGCCGAACCCACTTGACTCCCCGTCCTGCAGGCTTCCCCGCAACACTTCACTAGGACCAAGTCTCTGCACATCAACGACAATGCTGACTTTCTCCAGGTTTCGCAGTCGCGTCAGATTGTCTGTGCCTGTATCAGGACACAGGCAAGGCAGGTTTTGTGGTTCACGGATGTTTTTTTGTTGACGTCCCTTTTCCATCTGCGTCGATCTGGAAAGTCGTTCGCACTGGGTGTTTAGCCTGCTCCTGTAGGTGGGCCAGATGAAGTGGGACTCCAGGCCAAGCAAATGTTGACAAGACCATGATCTGCAGCAGCTTATGCAGCAAAGGTTCAGAAGAGAGCCTCCCAACTTAAAACCTTAGAAAGGAAGGGGACCTGCTGGGAGTAGCTTACGGAGCAGAATAAGGAGCACGGATGTTTGGGGCCACAAGGACCCCATTCAAGCTACACACATCTCTTGAGCCCAGTGGTATGACATGCATCTGAATGTCGCCCACATGCTATCTGTACCATCGAATTTCTGTTCCCGATTATATGACGTCAGTCTTGATTACTGGACAAATAAATAAATAACGATACAGGTTTTCTAGTCTCTTTGCAGGTCAGGTGGTATCCGGTCAGGTGGTATTCGCATGCTAAACATTCCCATTACCAACAGTCCCAGTTCTCCTAGCTATAGACCTATCTCTACTACTCGTACTATCTTCCTGTGGGGACGTCGCAGAAGACGGGCAAAGAGTCAATTGCCAGGCAAAGTGACGACCAGTGCTGTGGCTTCCCGAAGACCTCGAATGTCTGCTTGGAACGCTCCCGCATCCGTGCTGGAGTTTGTACCTCAGACTGTGCGCATCGCATGGATTTGGTGATTCTTTTCTGGCTTGAGGGAGTCTCCCAAGTGCTGATGGCAGGAAGAAGCTGCCAATAAAAAATCTCGAAAAGAATCTGAACTCCGACATCCCAATATTTTCCAAACACATAACCCTGCCTTTCATTTGCTGCGGGGCACCCAAGGATGTGTCGCATATCGTCAAGACCAGCCTGTCGGGGCGGGGGGCGGAGTTGCCCAAAGCGCTTATTATGTGATTCGTCAAACTTCTTGTGTTTTCGGCATTCGCATTCACAATCTTGACTCTTCTGGGATCTGATGCCTGGTTGCCCACATGTGAGGCTCTGAGGGAACGGCGGCTTCATCTCCACTGCTTTTCTGCTTTGTTCTGCCCTCCTGCTGTGCTGTACCCGGCCTGCAAGGGAATGGATGTCGTATCCAGCCTCTCCAGGCCACGGTCGAATTCGGAGGCCTGTTCAAGCCGACACGGAGGCTTTGCTTCTGCTTTCCGTAGCATGCACCGACATGCATCAACGCCTCGGCGCGGTCAGAAATTGGTGCTGTTGTAACTGCATGTTCTCAAAGCACATTGTTAGGCATCTGTTGCCTCGCAGCGCTCAAGCCTGTCTGTGCATGACTCCTGCACACAGAAGCAGCAGTCGCACAACTCTGCAGCTGCTTACAATGAACACCGCCGTGCTCCTGCGTGATTCCGATCAAGTGCTCGTGTTCCTCAGTCCTGCCGAGTTTCGAGGTGCGATCACTCCAGTATGCTCGCCTCAGGCTCGATTTGTCTGGCTATTTCTGTCCTGAGACCAGGAACCGCAACGTGGAAGAGCTCGACATTGAAGACGACACCCCCAGAGTCCTTCCCGGAAGTCGTGTCAATCTGCTTCCAGAGGCTTCGGCGGCTGCCCGACGAGGCAACAGAAAGCACGGTGTCCTTCATCCCGACATGCAAAGATCTGGCAGGGTTCCTGGTAAAGGAGCCAGGACTTTCTTTCAAAGTGACAAGCACTCAAGCCTGCGATTACCATCAGTTTTAAAGCCTAGAGTCTAAAGCACAGAAGCAATCCACGACGTTATCGATCAGAAAGGGATCAGGCGGTACAGACAACATGCATGTGGTTTGATGCACCGCAGTCAACTGACTAAGGCTTGTGAAACTTAGGATGTTGCTCCTGTGCTGGGCTCAAAATTCTTGGGCCGAGTCTTGCAATCGGTTTTGAGAGAGTGCAGGCAAGAGAGAGAGAGAGAGAGAGAGAGAGAGAGAGAGAGCGAGAGAGAGAGAGAGAGCGAGAGAGAGAGACAGAGAGAGAGAGAGAGCGAGTGTGGTTGCTTGTGTGAGTGTGTGTGTGTGTGTGAGTATGTATGCGTGTGTCCTTGCCTCTCGTTGCCCCGACATGCATGTCCCGAGGCGCTAGAAACATAGCAACTTGCACCATGAAGGCCGAATGGATGTAAGTTCGGACCAACAGTGTTCAATTGAAACTTGGGGAACAAGTCATCTGCATGGCAAGCGTCGTTTCGTTGGACGATTCCTTGATAAAGTCCATGAATCGCTGATGGTCCTGCGAATCGGAAAATGAAACATTCTTCGGGGCCGCAGCCAAACGCGAAGCAATCAGAGAACACCTTCGCACGATCCCACCCAGCGTCCGCTTCGTTGATGTACCGCATGATCGGGACGCCATCCAAGGGGTTCCTGTGGTGAGGCTGGCCCTGCTTCACTAAGACACGGGACAAAGCTCTAGAGTGGGGAAGTGGAAGACCCAGAAGCCACTGGGTTAATTCTTTAGTACGTGCTTGCAGCGGTGAACTGCAACTCCTGCAACAGCCATGCAAACAAGCACGAGATGCTGCAGTCAATGCTGCTCGACTCCGCGATCACCACTACTACTGGACTCCTGCTCACTTCGCTGTCCTCTGTTCTGTGCTCCTTCTGCTACCCGATACCAAAGCCAGTACCGCCACTTGGAGAAGTTCAGATCCCAGATCGTTCACCACCGATTAGATGAATTAGGAGCTCTTTTTGCGAAAAACAAAACCTGACAAATTGCAACAAATCAAGCAGAGGTTATCCTGGGTCATGCTGGGAGATGTGGCGTCGAACGTGACTAATTATACCCTTCTTCTCCTCAAACCTTCTGAGCACACGCAGCTTTCCCTGCCAAGATTCGCAGCTATGCTTGAGCCGAATCCGCCTCGGAGTCCACAAATCTAAGTCGAAGCTTCCTAGCCTCACATTAGTTCAGCATGATGCCAAAATTTGGGGACAACCACATCCGCCTCATAAAGCTTGTAACCATCTGATGTGGTCTCCAAGGCTTAAGGCCTGCAAGGGGTCTTTTGGAGGAAGGCGCGCAAAACCCGAAGCGTTTGTGAGACAGATTCCTGGCGCGGACTTAATTTTCCGATTGGAGCCTGTGTGGTCCTCGGACCTGTGGATCTGTGCAGCAGAACACAGTCATCCGTTAACACAAGGATGTGGTACATCACCCCAAACTTAAACCCGATTTCCGCTCCAGATCATCAAGAAGGCAGTCTCGAAACCGACAGCTGCATTCCAGCATGTGGGTCAGGGTTTCGACTTGTCAAAACGGGGACAATCGTTGATGCTTTGAGCAAGGATGGTCTGAGGATGCTCGATCTAAAGTTGGCTGATGTCGTCGCTGGAGTGGATCTACATATTTCGCACATTACCTTCCTGAACCACAACCCAGCCGAAAACTTTAACTCCAACCACCGAAATTACAAACCCCCAAAATCAGTGGAGTCGCACATCAGCAGATCGGACAAGCTCCGGGAAGGCTCGAAAATCGAAAGATCAGGCGCCAGCCTGTGCTTACATTAAGTTCATTATTACATCCCATGTGTATCGGTAGCACCTGAAACCTCTGGCCAAAAGCCACGATGTCCAACATCTGTGAAGGTTCCCCCTCCTCCCCCGCCTCCCAGCGCCCGTAAGCGATATTCCCGCCCGAGCCATGGTTTCCCCACCCCATCCCTCCGCCCAAGCAACGAAGCGGCTCCACAGCGCACTGTTGCCCATGCCTGCACTATCCTGTGCTCCACCCCCAATGTCTTTCAGCGCTTGTGCCTGCAGTGATTGATTTTGCTTTTTTGGAAACTGGCCAGCGAGCCTCTGGGGCTCAGAGCTTCAACTCGGATTCTACTGTCAGCATCGGTGCGAAGGATGGAGTTTCGGCTCCTTGCCAAGAGTCTTCTTTAATGCAACCCAAAACCCTACTCTCATTATGAAGGCCCTTACAATACGACATTCAAGGTTGCCGTGTTCTCTCGTCCACGGCGAATCCCACAGCCATCCAAGCCCCGCACACTGATTGGATGCTCAACAGTCAAAACCCCGGGCCAACATTTCAGCACTCACCTTTTCACACCTATGCCGTGAACCGTGGACTGGTGCCACTCACCCTGACCCTGGGAGTGCTTGGTTTTCAGGAAGCCCACGAGGAACCAAATCCCACGCCTCACGAAGGCATCGCAAGTCACGCTGAGGAGGCGCTGTGCAGCCCCTCCAGTTCGCTCCTCAGTATGCCGCATACACTCACTGTAATGTTTCGCTGTCTGATGATATGTAGATAGATAGGTTTGACAGGTTAGATGGACTAGGGCCTCGGGAGGCTACATAGACTATAAATAGGTTTGATAGAGAAATAGACAAATAGACACACAAGCTAGCTAGCTAGCTAGCTAGCTAGCTTATCGATAGATAGGCAGATCAGTACGTCGCTAGATTAGTTAGATGCAGACCTATAGACAGACGTATATATATATATATATATGCTAGCCCCCCCCCCAAGACCAACCCTGAATTCCCTAAATTCCTTAATTCCCTACCCATTGGATTTAGGTATTTCCCTAAATTCCCTAAATTCCCTAATTCCCTACCCCATGTGTTGGATTTGGGGAATTCCCTATTTCCCTAAATTCCCTAAACCTGGACAGCCCCCCATCGGTTAATAACCGACGTGACCTAAACACAAACCGATGTAGGCCATCCCGGGCTCCCAGCGGTTAATCGAACATCCCAGCGGTTATTTGATATCCCAGCGGTTAATTCAACATCCCAGCGGTTATTTCAACATCCCAGCGGTTGTTTGATGATCCCAGCGGTTAATTGTCCCAGCGGTTAATCCCAGCGGTTAATTCCAGCGGTTAATCGTCCCAGCGGTTAATCCCAGCGGTTAATTGTCCCAGCGGTTAATCCCAGCGGTTAATTGTCCCAGCGGTTAATCCCAGCGGTTAATTCCAGCGGTTAATCGTCCCAGCGGTTAGTCCCAGCGGTTAATCCCAGCGGTTAATTGTCCCAGCGGTTAATCCCAGCGGTTAATTGTCCCAGCGGTTAATCCCAGCGGTTAATTCACATCCTAGCGGTTATATATCCAAAGGTTCGGGATCCCAGCGGTTAGTGAAGGTGCCAACGGCCGTACGAACATGGTGTTAATGAATTTGTGTGGCGTGGCGAGGTGCCAACGGCTGTACGAACATGGTGTTAATGAATTTGTGTGGCGTGGCGAGGTGCCAACGGCCGTACGAACATGGTGTTAATGAATTTGTGTGGCGTGGCGAGGTGCCAACGGCCGTACGAACATGGTGTTAATGAATTTGTGTGGCGTGGCGAGGTGCCAAAGGCCGTTCTCTGCCTCCGGACGGGTGGCGCAAAGCAGCCAAACCTTCACTACTACTACTACTACTACTTACTACTACTACTACTACTACTACTACTACTACTACTACTACTACTACTACTACTACTACTACTACTACTACTACAGCTTCTGCAAACACTGCTTGGCTTTCGGTGCTTCAGCTTCTGCAAACACTGCTTGGGCTTTCGGGGCTTCAGCTTCTGCAAACACTGCTTGGGCTTTCGGGGCTTCTGCTTCTGCAAACACTGCTTGGGCTTTCGGTGCTTCAGCTTCTGCAAACACTGCTTGGCTTTCGGGGCTTCAGCTTCTGCATACACAGCACATAAATAGTTTATCAGTTTTGCAAGTAGATCTTTGCAGTCCTGGCATCCAGGACGGTAAATATAGCGGTTATGCAGTCCTGGCATCCAGGACGGTACGTATAGTGGTTATGGTCCGGTTATGGTTGTTACACTGCGTAGGTTTTCGTAGTACTAGTACTAGTAGAAAGCATATTATGCAGGAGTCTTTGTTGACTAGCTGTCACAATCAAACATATACACGTACGGCGTGGCGAGGCGCCAACAGCCATTACAACTCACGGTGGGCGGCACTTCAAGCAATCAGTCGCAACCAACCAACCGACCGACCAACACTCCAGCACATGCATCAAGCCAGGGACACAACCACCATCCAACACATGCATCAAGCCAGGCACACAACCACCATCCAACACATGCATCAAGCCAGGCACACAACCGACCAACAGGTGCAAGCCTTCAGAGCCAAGCACACAACCGACCAACAGGTGCAAGCCTTCAAGCAATCAGTCCCAAGCACAACCAGCGTTCCTCGAGATTCTACAACTGCCACTGCGACTGCAAACACAGCTTGGCTTTCGGTGCTTCAGTTTCTGCAAACACTGCTTGGCTTTCGGGGCTTCAGCTTCTGCAAACACTGCTTGGCTTTCGGGGCTTCAGCCTCTGCAAACACGGTTTGGCTTTCGGTGCTTTTGACAGCATTATGCAGGATTCTTTGTTATGGGTTTGAACAGTTCAGGCGTGGAACCCGGTTTTTGTTTGCAGGCTTTTGATTTGGAGTTTGTGCAAGCTTTGGCCAGGGTTTAGGATCAAAGCGGATGTTGCGAGGGGGAGCACCTCCACCCGATGGCCAAGGGGGAGCAACTCCACCCGAGGCCATGCATGCACTAGATTGGGAACAAGAGAGGTTTCGGGAATATCGGTATTAAGGGGTGTATATGTGAATGCATCCTCCCTTTTTTTGGGGAGGCCTTGGCCCTTGCGGTTTCAAACTTGGAACCTAAACTTGCAAGCTTCGGGACTATGGAATGTTGTTTGGTTGCATTGTGGCAAGTTCTTCCTTAAGCCGAAATCTAAACCCTCAACCCCCAAACCTGAAGCCCCAACTTTGGAAACCCTAAACCCTAAAACCCTTAAGAGACCTGCGGCGTCCTCTTTTTTTTCGGCGACGCGGCGCTTCTTCTTCGCCGTCGCCCCGGGCAAGCGTTGCCAGAGAAACACTTGTTTCGTCAGGTAACGTCTTGCCCAGGTGCGAGGCTGAGAAGTCACGTGGCAGCCGGCCGAAACAATCTTGAGGAACTTCATATGATCCTCATCCAAAAAATTCGCAGCATGGTAAAAGTTGAGCTTGTGGCAGGGCAGCTCATCCACCAAATGCTGCGTGTAATGCATCTTCGGCCGAAGTTTGTACAAGCAGAGGCCTTTTCGATGGAATCGTGCAGCAGCGTGAGCATAACTCAGAAGGAACGTATCGAAACACCATTGTGATTCGATAATCTCCTCTGGCTTGAGAAAGGGTTTACTGCCAGTTCCCCCAACACTCAATGCTGCATCCAAGCACCATACCATCGTTGCCCTGCACCTCGACCAATGCACCGTGTCTGAGGGTGCGTCACCAGACACCAGTATTTCCAGTTGACAGCAGTAATAAGCGGTAAACGCCAGCAAGTTTCTGGTCCGACTTGCTTTTATACGGCTTGTGAGCTCAGGGTAGATAGCCTTCTTGTTGGCATGTAAAGTTTCCCACGTCAGCGGCTTCATCGAGCAATCCAGGCCACGATCCTTGCAGAAACTTTGGGCTTCCGCAGTCCACCTGTGAAGAAGCTGATCTGGGCTGCCATCGACTTGCAAGAAAGCTGCCATCTCGCCCGATCTCACGGTCTCAACCAGAATGGAAGCCACAAGGTCCCGGATGTAACCCAGATGGGCGAGGTGCATAACTTGGTTGAGCAGTGCATCTTACAGTATTCGAGCACTACATAACCAAAAGCCATAAAAAAGCCATCCAGGAATGCTGTTAATGCGACCTAGAGGCTGTCAAACAGGCGGCGGCGCTTGGTGAAGCCCTTGACTGAGCACCAAACAGATCGTTCTTCTTGGTGTGGCAGCGGCTCATGGTAGCTGCATGTAGAGCGCCACAGAGCTGACGAAGAAAAGTCTGTGAAAGTCAGCTGTTTGTCCCGGCTCGATGCCCAACACCAATCGCATATCGAAGGCTTGTTATAGTGCCTCTGAAGATTGTGTGATTTTGCATGAGCTTCCATATCTCCAGCCCAATATGAGAAGCATGCTCGGATCCCAATGTTTTGGCCAATCTTTTGGGCTCGCGCTGAGCCAGCTGGCCACGGAACGTCGTTGTGGTCGCAGGATGGAAAAACGCCACGTTCCAGTGCTCGAAGATCCCAAGCGATGATGTCAGCGATGCAGTGTCTCGTTTCGGGCGCGACACGACTGTTCGTGACACCAACAATGCCTTTAATTGTTGTTGTCCATCATATACATATATATATATATGAGAGAGGCTCCTTTAGGGTCCATTTGACGCATTCATTTAATTATATATATGAATATGAAATTAAATATTTTAAATAATTTAAATATTTTAAATAGTTTAAATATTTATATTGTTTAAATTATTTCCTTTACAAAATAATTTAAATAATTTAAATAAATTAAATTTGGCTTATTTAAAATATTTTAATTAATTAAAATATGTTTCAAAAGAAATTTTTTCAAATAATTTAATAATTTAAATTATTTAAATTATTTCCTGTAAAAAATGATTTAAATAATTTAAATAAATTAAATACAGCCTATTTAAATTATTTAAATTATTTACATTATTTCCGTTAAAAAATAATCTAAATAATTTAAATACTTTGAATAGTTAGTTAGCTATCCTAAAACAACCTTTCCAGGACTATTTAAATAATTTAAATAATGTAAATAATTTAAATAATTTAAATAATTTACATATTTTAGATATTTAAATTATTTAAATTATTTCCTTTACAAAATAATTTAAATAATTTAAATAAATTAAATACAGCTTATTTAAATTATTTAAAATATTTAAATTATTTAAATTATTTAAATTATTTAAATAGGGTGGAAACCTTCTAACCAAATGTGCAGCCGTATTTAAATTATTTACATTATTTAAAATATTTCCTTAACAAAATAATTTAAATAATTTAAATAATTAAAATAGTTAGTTAGCTTTCCTAAAACAACCTTTCCAGGACTATTTAAATAATTTGAATAATTTAAATAATTCAAATAATTTAAATATGTTAAATGATTTAAATATTTAAATTATTTAAATTATTTCCTTTAAATAATTTAAATAAATTAAATACGGCTTATTTAAATTATTTAAATTATTTAAAATATTTGAACTATTTAAATTATTTAAATAAGGGGGGAAACCTTCTAACCAAATGTGACAGCCGTATTTAAATTATTTAAATTATTTAAAATATTTCTTTGACAAAATAATTTAAATAATTTAAATAATTAAAATAGTTAGTTAGCTTTCCTAAAACAACCTTTCCAGGACTATTTAAATAATTTAAATAATTTAAATAATCTA